GGGGGGGGGGGGGGACGCATTTACAGTCAACTGATGCTGCTTTAAAACGCACGCACCACATCCAGCCATGTTCAGACTGGCATCAAACACTCGCACTGCACGCTTCCTCAGAGGTGACCCGCAGGGCAGCGAGCACAGTGACCGGAGGTCAGCAGCAATGAGGCAAAGCGTTAAAGGCCATAAAAGCCAGAGGGTCGGGGGCATCGACCCCACCTGTGCCTCCGGTCCACATGTGGGTCGGGTATCCTCGGCTGCTTGAAGTTATGACGCAGCGTCATTAACGTTTATGCTTCCATCACTTAGTCGCAGGGATTTATCGCGCTCCTGCTGCATTCGGCAGGAAACCTGCTTCAGTGTGCAGATTTACGAGCGGCCTTCATGTGCCGCTCGTGCTTCGACTCGTGTTTGGACGCTTGTCTCGTCACGGTCACAGTCTGATTAACGAGGCTATGCCAACCAGGTTAACGTCCACAGAGTAAATATTTCAAGTTGATTGTTCGGTGCTGATTTATCTTCCGTCATGAGATGAGCGAAGGAAAAGCTGTGAGGTTGATTCCGGCACAGCTGGTTCTCCACCCGGGGGCCAGGACCCTCCAGGGGAATGACTTCAACAGGTTCTGCTACAGTCACTTTCAGGCTCCGTTCAGATCCTGAACAGATTTGAGCGAAGGTGGCAGCAGCAGATAAATACGATGAACTGAGCTGCACTCAGGCTCCCCCTACAGGTGGGACGCCTGAGTCACCGACGTAAGGCACACAGCGGAACACTTCAACCAAAGAATGGAACTCAACAGTTTAGGATTCCACAACGATAGAAAGAGGAAACACTGCTGGTCGAGTGTCTTAAAGGAAACGAGACAGATTAAGATATTTAAAAATTACTATATTTGAATCGACAAATATTTAGCAATTAAAAGATACATGAGGACACATGATTAAAGCTGGAGACGTTTTCATTTCATGAGATATTTCCCCCAGATGTAAAACCTACTTCTGACATAATATTTAACATTTCTCACTCGCGAGAAGTTTTACTTCACACTTCAACTGCACATGAATATATAAACAGACTACACACATTTGAGTAAAGGGAGAATTCAATTATCAGTCATGTCCCATTTTCCAGCCACTTCATCACTACACAATGTTTTTCCACACAAAGCTGAGCCCGACACATTTTCACATCTGACCCTGAACTTGTTTGACTATTTACAGGCTGAAGACGATGGTGAAGAGCAGAGCAGCAGGAAGAGCGAGCAGAGGGAAGTTGTTGCTGCAGCGAGACGCAGAACTGTGTTCGTAATAATCCTCCACTCTGCACTCGCTGCAGTCGTGGCCACAGAAGGAGCAGGTGGACATGGTGTTCCTCTTCTCAGACATATACGTCCTCACCGTCCTCCGTCCTGGAAGAGAGTGAAGATTAAACGTACAGGTGAAGTCTGTTCAGTATTCAGTCTGCAGGTCTTCATGTACATTTACCAGCCTCCGCTCCTCAGTGCGTCTATGAACAAACTAACGGGACAGAGCACGGACGGATTCTCTCCAAACTTAGAGAGAACGTTAGTCGGGAGTTTATCTCCAAATGATCAACAACACGGTCTGAAACACATTTTCTAAGATGTCAAGAGACACCGTCAACTTTATATTGATCAGAAATTGTTCCCATCAAACGACATCAGCTTCTTGATTACATAGAAAAACAGTCTGTGATCATGTGAACGATGAAACTATTACACAATATAAAACTTTATCGTGAGCTGTCTGAGGCTCCAGCTCGATTCTTCACGTGTTCGACAGATGAAAACTTCTGCGTTCTTACTTGGTTCATAATAATCGTAGATGGAAACAGTCGCCTCCTGCACTTTGGCGACTTTATATTCCACGTGCATCAGAATCTGCAGACACATCTCGTCCGTCGTCACCTGGAAACACGTTTACATTTTAACTCTAGTGAGAAACTTCAGGAATAGTGAGTCTGTGGTAGAGTGTGTTGACACGTACAGAGTCCAGGTACACAACGACTTTCCCAGGATGCATCTCCACCGCCTTTATGACCTCGTCAGTCTGGATGGCGTCCGGCGCCACACTGAAGCCGCTCAGCAGACCCACCTCCAGGATGGCCATGCCCGTCGCACTCAGACCCACATGCTCCGACAGGCTGCAGAGGGCGGAGCGACAAACATTCAAGATTTGTTTCAATCCATAAATTAACAACAGATTTAAATTAATTAACATCTGAATATATAAAACATGTGACACCAACAAGATAGGAGTGTTAACTTCATTCAAACAGACACTGTTTATACCCACTTCTTGAT